GCCCGCTCTCCCAGGTTCCTGCCTCGGCCTCCTCCTGCTCCAGCCTTGCACCCTGCACCCCGCCGACCTAAAACACAAACCTCTCCCGCTCCTGCTCAAACCCCTCCCGTGGTTCCCCAGCGCTTAATGGGGCCCAAAGGCCCTGCTAGTTTGCACATCTCCCCACCCCCACCCCAGCAACCTCTTCGCACGCATTTGCTGCCTCACGTGAAAATCCAGCCAGACAGCGACCGCCATGGAGGCAGGAGGCCTTCTTTGGCGTCACTGGGCCTCCGCTGCAGCAGCCTTTAGCCTGACTTGGGAGGGGCAGTAATTACACATTAATAAGCCCCTCTAGTCACATCCCTGGCCTGGGGCTTTTGCCCAGGCTCTTCCTGTCCCCATCATGCGCTTCCCCCAGGCATCCGCTGACCGCATCCCCTCACCTCCTTCCGGTCTTTGCAACATTGAGAGACCCCGTCTCTACCAAAAAAAAAATATATATATATATATATAATCTCGAGGCTTGGCGTGCGCCTGTGGTCCCAGCTACTAAGAGGGAGGCTGAGGTGGGAGTATCGCTTGAGCCCAGGGGTTCGAGGCTGCAGTGAGCAGTGATCACGCCACTACACTCGTCACTTCCTCAGCGAGGGCTTCCCAGACCACCCGGTTTATACCCCCTCCTGCCCCGGCCCTCCTCGGGCCCCTGCCTGCCGGACTTTTGTCCCCAGCAGGTCTCACTCCTTCATGCATGGATTTCGTCCTCATCCAGGGAGCTAACCGCAGGCTCCCTGCGGGAGGGTCCTGTTTCCTGCACCTAGAACAGGGTCTGGGACGCGCCGGCCCAGGATAAATCTGAATTCCGCAAACCGCGCTGCAGGCTCCTCCCAGACCGTCGCCTTCTCCTCCAGGAGGGGGCAGCCGCGCTCCTTTCCACCCGCCCCCGGAGGCTCCACGCGCGGGACAGACCCAGCTGCTGCCGCCTGTGCTGGTCCCTGCGCGCCGGGACCCTTCCCTGCGGGACCTCAAGGCCTTTACGCAGCTGCTCCTTCCACTCCAAACGCTCCTCACCACCCGCTGGGCGCACTCCCTCCAGGAATGAAAAGAATTTTTTTCCAGTACATTCCCCACGAGATGTATCTGGGGTCTGACTCCCCCGGTCCCCGTGGTTCATTCCGACCGTCAGTCATTCCACAAATAACAGCAGCCGCCGCGTGCCAGGCACCGTGCTGGGTCTGGGGACAAGAAGGGGACAGGACAGGCTACACTTTCTCCCTATGGAGCTGGCCCTGAGCCGCTCTGGCGCCTCTCCTCGCCACGCCCACCTGTCCCCATGCCGCGTGGGTCCCCACGGCAACCGCTCAGGGTCCCTTGCAGCGGCTGGTGCTGCTGCGAGCCCACAGGGCGCTGGGGGGAGTTGGAAAGCCGGAGGAAGGGGACACCATCTGAGGAATGCTAGGGTCGTGGTGGCGGCAGCAGCTGGACGTCACGGCGGTGAACCAGGGGCTCCCGGGTTCCTCCTCAGGCAAGCCAGTCCGGTGCGTGGCAGCCGTATACCCGGGCTCTGGGCAGCAACATTTCCCACACGGCTCCCCCAGCCCTCGAGAGGGAGCAGCTCCCTGCATTGCTAATACCGGGACAAACCGACCTCCCTGTTTTTGCACTTTCTGATTGCAATACCCCAGTCACTAATTTTCTCTTTTAACCTCCCTGACAGGTACAGTAGGTGCCCTACTGAGAAATGAGTGCATCAGGGGACAGTAGTCGCTCTGAAAAATAAAGGAAGTGCAGAAATAGTGTGTGTGTGTGTGTGTGTGTGTGTGTGTGTGTGTGTCTGTGACAGAGTCTGGCTGTGTTGCCCCAGCTGGAGTGCAGCCTCATGCTCTCAGCTCACTGCAACCTCCGCCTCCCGGGTTCAAGTGATTCTCCTGCCTCAGCCTCCTGAATAGATGAGACTACAGGCATGCCTGCTACCACGCCTGGCTAATTTTTGTATTTTTAGTAGAGACGGGGTTTCGTCATGTTGGCCAGGCTGGTCTCGAACTCCTAACCTCGTGATCCACCCTCCTCAGCTTCCCAAAGTGCTGGGATTACAGGTGTGAGCCACCACACCTGGCCCAAGGGTTACATTTTTGTAGGTGGTCAGGGAAGCTCTCCCCAGGAATGTGACATTTGAAGAAAGGTCCAAATGACCGTCCAGGTCGGAGCCATACCCACAGCCTGGGGAAAGGCATTCCAGTGCAAAGAAAGAGCAGTGCAAACGCCCTGAGGCAGGAATATGCCTCATGTGTCCTGGGGACCTGGGTGGCTGAAGCCACGAGAGACACAGAGAGGGCAGTGGGAGGCGAGGTAGGGGGTGAGATGGGGGCAGTGTGTAGACCTGAGCTGTGCAAGATTGCTGCCTGCGATGGTGGCGATGTCCTGCAGCGGCTCTGAGCAGTGTGGTAGCCGCTGGCCACGTGTGGCTCTTGAGCACTTGTGACGTGGCTGGGAAGACTGAGGACATGGACGTATACATTTATTTAATCTTAATTACATGTAAATCCAATGTACCCCCTATGATTATTTAGTCCAGGTGTCCCCAAACTTTTTACACAGGGGGACAGTTCACTGTCCCTCAGACCATTGGAGGGCCACCACATACTGTGCTCCTCTCACTGACCACCAATGAAAGAGGTGCCTCTTCCTGAAGTGCGGCGGAGGGCTGGATAAATGGCCTCAGGGGGCTGCATGCAGCCCACGGGCCGTAGTTTGGGGACGCCTGATTTAGTTGGACACAGCATGTCTAGACAGTCTTAAGAACTGTAGATGTCATGGCACATGAAGGAGCCCTTGGGATATTTGGGGAAGGGAGGGAACACAATCAGACCCCAGGTATGACTTCCGAGAGGATGCCTCTGGCAGCCATGTATGGTAGGGGGACACGGGATGGAGGGAGGCAGAAAACCCAGGTAGGATGGAAGGCTGAGACTGAGGTCCAGGGCAGAGGCTAGGGGTGGAGGCTAGAGGGTGGGTGCATGCAGCTGCAACCTGGCAGTGTATCTGGGTGGAAGCTAGGGTGGGGATTGGCTGGGCGGGGTTAGGGCCACAGGGGAACTCCGGAGGGGACTTAGGGTCTCCATGGGTGTCCACGGGCTTCAGAGCTGAGACTGAGGGCTAAGGCTGGAAGTGGGGAGGCGTCAAGCATGGGGGTGGAAGCCCAAATCTGCAAGGGGTGAAATGATGCTGGGGAGTAGGGAGGGCCAGGCAGGGTGCACAACCCTTGAAGCGACAAAGGACAGTGTGTGTACACCAGTGACAGGGCAGTTCCCAGGTGTTCTGGGCAAGCTACTGTCAAGACTGCGGACATGTGCGGCCCACGCTCCACACTCCCCTCGCCCCATCGCCCAGAGCACTGAGAGAGCACAATGCTGAATTTCACTTTACTGAAGGATCCGGGTGACACAGCGCACAGGGAGAGAAGCCTGGAACTGCTACAGCGTACAGGGAGAGAAGCTTAGAATCACACGGGAGAAGCACACCTAGGGCCCTCCCCACCCACAGGCAACACCACAGGCTGCTGTGCCCAGCGCTCCGCACACCCAGTCTGCTCCTTGGTGGGTGGGTCACTGTCCAGGGGCAGCCTCTGCAGGGAGGAGCACCCAAGCCCTGCAGCAGCTGCCAGTCGGCTTCTGCATCTGGGTGTCCCTGACAGTCCAGTCCAGGCTTCGAGGCCACACCCAGGCCTCCCTGTTTTTTCCCAGAGACAGGCAGGGCAGGGCCCTCCTTGCATGTCAAGCTCCTTACTACTGTCCCAGGGACAGGAAGGCAGGAACGAACAAGGGGTCCGTCGAGACCGATATCTAGGGAAAGATCAAGCCCAGCAGGGGTTGGGGGAGCTGAAGCGAATGGCACAGCACCGGAATCACACACAGCTGAAGCGTCTGCACTTGGGACAGCAGGTGCTGAAGCTGGAGAGCCCCGGCCCCGCCTACTCGGAAACCGCCCCGCAGGGTTGGGATTTCCTCCCAGGTCTTTTCATCCCCTGGACCCAGGGACACACTGCCAGCTTCTGCACTGCCTAGGTGAGCCTCTGCCCCTCACCGTGCCCGTCAGGGACCCCTCTGGCTTTTAATTCACTCGGGGGTGAACCTAGGGACTTTCAAGGTCTTTAGGGCTGCAAGGCCAGCACTGAGCGGTGGGTCAGCTCCACAGGAGAGTGGGGACCCAGGGGAGCCAGAACCAATGGGAGGGGGCCAGGGCCACTTAGCCCAGAGGAGCCAAGACTCTGGATTTTATGTGAATTTCCCCAAACGGAACACGTCGGCAAATAATTAGAATGTTGGGAAACACTGCAGTCTAAGTGACAAATTCAACTTGTGGTCAGGGGCAGGTGGCCTTGGCCTGGGGCTGGTTCCTTTGTATCAGGGCGGCCGGCCGGCGGGCAGACCTGCGGTGTCTTCCCTCTGCTCTTCCTCCTCCTCCTTCCTTTCCTCCACCGATCCTCTCCCTTTTTCTCCTCCTCCCCTTCCCATCCCCCGTCAGTCTCTCAGACTTTTCCTTGCTGGAATAATCTCCTCTCCTGGGTAGGAGCTGGGGCCTCCTCTGGCTGGGTGCTGCACCCAGACAGGCGCTGCGCGGCTGGTGACCAAACCTCCATCGCAGACCCTGGGCCGAGTCAGGCTGGGGAGGGGGAAACAGCGACCAGCAGCCCCTGCCAAGCTCGGGCTCCGGGAGCGCCATGAAGAGCCCTGCTCGCCTCCGCAGATGCCCCGTGTCCACCCACACCCCCGCCAGGGGCGACCCGGGCCCCCCAACCCTGGTGCCCATCTGGGCCCCTCGCCGCTGCTTCGAGAGCACGTCCCTTTCCTCCAACCATCTGGGCTTCCTCCGTCGGGATCGCTGGTGCCCCAGGCCCGTAAGGGCCCCAGAGGGGAACGTGACACCGGCAAACGCGGACCCGGCGCCCGGTGAAGCGAGGAGGTCGCGTCTGCGGAGGGAGGAAGCGGAGGGAAAGGGAGGGAGGGGGCATCCTCGGGCGCCCTGCGGGGCCGGCTCACAGCCTGGGGGGCCGCTAGCGGCATTTGGGGGGCAGCCTACGGCCCCGACGGGCCTTCTTCCCGCGCGCGGCCTTGGAGCCAGTGGAAGCCTGGCCCTTGGACTCGCCGGCCTTGACGTGGGCACCGGCGCCCGCGCTCCCCTTTTTCTTCCTGCTTCCCGCGGCGTCGTCCAGAGCCGAGCCCCGGCTCCCGGCTTTCTTCTCGGGACTGACGCCCCGGCCTCGGCCTCTGCCGCCCGCTCGCGTTTTGCGGGCCCCGGACGCGGTGGGGGGCGCGCCGGCCGGAGTCAGGCCCCGGGGGGCCGTGCGTGCCCTCTTGGCCCGGGGCTTCGTGGATGCCCTGTCCTCGGGCTCCGACGCCTCGCTCTCCGTGTCCTCCGACTCCTCCTCGGACTGTTCGTCCGAAGCCTCCAACGACCCCTCGTTGGACCCCAGGTTCTCCCGGGCGGCCAGGAGCGCCAATACCTCCCCAAGTTTGCCTTTGGGGTATTTGTACTTCCCGCCTTCCCAGGCGTTCTCTTTTTCCTCCTTCATCACCTCCGCCATATCCTGCGCAGCCAGGAGCGCCACCAGCTCCAGAAGGCCCCCCTCATCCTCACCGTCCTCGCCCCAGCCCCCGAAGAGGCCACGCCCAGCCTTCTTCACCTGGGGAGGGAGATCCAGCTGCGCCAAGGTGGAAATGCACTCTCGGAGGTCCCCGCCGTCGCCGGCCTTGCGCAGGACCACGGCGTCCACCTCGCGGCCCGCCTCCTCCACCTTCACGCGGGTCCCGCAAGTGTCCTTGGACATGACGGACAGGACCTGTTGGAGCGCGTCTTGCTTGTCTTTCTCGTCGCTCCAGCCCAGCGACTCGATCACAGAAGCGATTTTCAACATCTCCTCCCGGGCCCAGGGGTCCGACGGGTCGGTATAGGCCACAATGGCCACGAACTCAGGATTGTCCAACCCCTCTGCTTCTTGGTCCTCACTTTCCTGCGAGTCGCTCTCCGAAGCGTCGCTGTCCACTGGCTCCTCCTCCGGGGTGTCCCTCACAGCCAGCAGGGCCACTAAGTCTGGGACGCAGTTTTTGCCTTCTTTGGTGTTCAAGGGGATGGATTCGGCCCCAGCTGGCTCCTTCTCTGCCTCTTCTTTCTTGGCTTTATCGGTGACAGTGACCAGAGCCAAAAACTCGCGGGGACCGTCTTCTTCCCCCGCGGAGCTGCAGGGCGCCCACTGCCTAACCAGCTCCCTGGCGGCCGCCTGGAGCGTGGCGTAGAGCGCGCTCTGGTCCTCGTCTCCGCTCAGGTCGCCCTTGTCGATCTCCTCGATCACGATGCCCAGGCTCTCATCGGAAGAGTCCTCGGCCTCACTCCTTGCGGAAGCGGATGGTCGCCCTCCTCGGCTTCTCTTCTTGCCCTTCTGAGTCAACCTGTTGCGTCTGGTTCTGTTTCTGCGACCCCGCCGGCCTCTCCTTGCGTTCTTGGCTGCCCCAAGAGGCGAGCCAGCCTGCCCTGTCCCCTCCCCAGAATCCTGGGCCTGGATCTCCGAAGCGGGAAGGGTGGGCGCCTCCCCCGGGGTCACAGCCACTGCGGCCTGAGTGGGCCCGTCATCCAGCAGCAGGCGTCTCATCTGCCTGAGGACCCTCGTGTCCTGCGCACAGTCCTTCCACAGAACCCTCCAGACCCCATCCTTGCCGGGGATCTCCTTGGGAATGGCAGCGTGATTGACGTCCTCCACAAACTCCACCAGGGCGGCCTGGGCCTTCTCGTTCGTCAAGGCCTTCATGTGTCGCAGCCTGAACGTGCCCAGGGGCAGGAGGGAGGGCTGCAGGGCGGCTTCGACGTGCTCCTGCTCCAGGCCCTCCGGGATGCCGGTGACCAGCAGGGCCCTGTGCGCGTCCACGTCCAGGCCCCGGCACCAGTCTTGCAGAAGGCTCATGGCCATGGTGCCGCCCCCTGGGCGCTGATCTTGGGGCAGGAGGGAGCCTGAGATGGGGTGGGCTGCAGCGCACGGCGTCAATGCCACCCTGGAAAGCCACCCGCAGCGCTTAGTGTCCCGGTTCCTGCGAATGTGGCAAGGCTGGAGTGGGGCTTGGGGCTCGGGGGCCCTAGCTGCCTGCTGGCCCGCTGGATGCAGTGACCTTCCCCCGGGACCCCTCCCCAGAGCTGTCTGAGGATCCGCAGGGGGGCTTACGTTTCCGCTTTCCAGGGCAGCTCCCTCCCTCTTTTTCTGACACAGGCCTGAGTGCCTGGGCAACGCGGCCAGGTGCAGGGGGGCGGCGCCGAGTGCACCTGGAGGGGCGTGGGAGGTAGGAGCCGCCGCTTGCCTGGTGCTCCCGCCGCGTCTGAGCGCGCACCCTCGGCCTGAATCTCAGCAGTTCCGCTGCGACGCGGCTCCTGGGGCCTGCGCCTGCGCAGACGGAGCCGCACGCTCTCCCCGGTCTCCCCCCCAACCGTCTCCATGGCAACAGTGCAGCCTGGAGCTGGGGTCTGCGTCGCTGTGGCCTGACACGCTTCTCTTAAAGGTCCCGATGGGAGAAGGATTGGGGGCCTGGAAGCACCCCTTACTCATCAGCAAAAAACAAGGCCGAAACCACAGAGGGCCAGAAATACTCAAGGAGACCCGATCTCATTCAGGGGATAGAGGCCTCCTTCCAGAGGGTACGGGCTTCACTGGGGGTTACAATTCCCCCTTCCAGTGGAAAGGTGGAATTCGGGATTACATAGGCCTAAATCAAGAGGCACTTGCCTCGCACCGTGGGACTAGGACTCACTCGGGACACTGGCCTTTTTCACAGTATATGAGTCTCAGTATTAAATAGGGGGGCCCAGGCCCCATCTGTGAGCAACGGACAGCATTTGGGGTATATGGACCTCACTTGCTGGGTACAGGCCCCACTCAGTGGGACTGACCCTCACTCCCAAACATGTTCCTGTATTCTGAACTGTGCATGCACAATGAATCCCGTGGTTCTGCACACGCTTTCAGCATATAAATGATCATGAGCGAGACCAGCCATGAAATTTGCAAGAAAGCATTTCCTTTGGGACAGCAGACTGGGGCCTGTGAATGCCAGTCATAGCTACTATAAGCATGCATTTGCTTCTCTGTCCCTTGTCGACCGTGAGGCTGTCCCCTACTCTATATGAATCTGGCTCTGTAGGCCTACTGCATCATCACTACCTCAAAGGGTTGTTTTGTTTTTGTTTTTGTTTTTGTTTTGAGATGGAGTCTTGCTGTATAATCCAGGATGGAGTGCAATGGCACAGTCTTGGTTCACTGCAATCTCTGCCTCCCCGGTTCAAGAGATTCTCCTGCCTCGGCCTCCTGAGTAGCTAGGATTACAGGCCTCCCAAGTAGCTGGGATGACAGGCATATGCCACCACATCTGGCAATTTTTTCTTTTTTTGTAAAGACAGGATTTCACCATGTTGCCCAGACTGATCTTGAAGTCCTGACCTCAAGGGATCCACTGGCCTCCAAAAGTGCTGGGATCAGAGGGGTGAGCCACCATGCCTGGCCTCAAACAGTTCTGATGGAGATTAAACGGACTAATCCAGGGAAGCATTTAGAAGACAGGCTGGCCCACAGCTGCTGCTCTGTGAAAGATGACTAAGCTAAGTATTTACTGAGACTCTACCGTTATAAAAGCATATGATTTTTTTTTTTTTTTTTTTTTTTTTTTTTTTTTTTTTTTTTTTTTGAGACGGAGTTTCACTCTTGTTACCCAGGCTGGAGTGCAATGGCACGATCTCGGCTCACCGCAACCTCCGCCTCCTGGGTTCAGGCAATTCTCCTGCCTCAGCCTCCTGAGTAGCTGGGATTATAGGCACGCGCCACCATGCCCAGCTAATTTTTTGTATTTTTAGTAGAGACGGGGTTTCAGCATGTTGACCAGGATGGTCTCGATCTCTTGACCTCGTGATCCACCCGCCTCAGCCTCCCAAAGTGCTGGGATTACAGGCTTGAGCCACCGCGCCCGGCCAAGCATATGATTTTGTTTGTTTGTTTTTGAGATGGAGTCTTGCTCTGTCACCCAGGCTGTGTACTGCAATGGTGTGACCTCAGCTCACTGCAACCTCCACTACCCGGGTTCAAGCCATTCTCCTGCCTCAGCTCCTGATAGCTGCGACTACAGGCATTCACCACCATGTTGGACTAGTTTTGCATTTTTAGTAGACATGGGTGTTCACCATGCTGACCAGGCTGGTCTCGAACTCCTAATCTCAAGTGATCCACCTGCCTTGGCTTCTCCAAGTGCTGGGCATGAGCCACCGTGCCCAGCCAAAAGCATCTGTTAACAAACAAATAAATAGGAAACCAAAACACCCATGCTTTGTTTTTGCCACCAGGCCCACCCCCTTATTTTTGTGTTTGAGGTTTTTTTTTTTTTTTTTTTTTTTTACATTTAAAGAGATTTTAATTGCAAGGTTACCATGGCAACTGAGCAAACCACTTACTCCTATTTTCCCTACTTTTTCCTCTTCCGACCTTCCTGACCCACAGATGGTTGTAATGTGACTCTTCTCTCCAGAGCACTGTTGTCCAACAGAGATAAAATGCCAGCCTCAAATCTGAACCACGTGTATAATGTTGAAATTTCTAGTTGTGGCCAATCAACACTGACCTCAGGTCATCCATCCACCTCGGTCTCTCAGAGTGCTGAGATTACAGGTGTGAGCCACCGCACCCAGCCTAATGTGTCATTTTGACATTTGAATCTCCAATTTAGGCCGGGTATGGTGGCACATGCCTGTAATCCCAGCTACTTGGGAGGGTGAGGCAGGAAAATCGCATGTACCCAGGAGGCGGAGGTTGCAGTGAGCAGAGATCATGCCACTGCACTCCTGCCTGTGTGTCAGAGCAAGAGTCCATCTCTGAATGAATGAATGAATGGAATAGAAGATTGGATGACACATGCCACACACGCTGAAAACATGAGGAGTTTTCAAGGAGTTCAAGGAGTTCTCCAAGTTCTCCTGCCTCAGCCTCCTAAGTAACTGAGATAACAGGTACCCACCACCACACCTGGCTAATTTTGTATTTTTAGTAGAGACAGGGTCTCACCATGTTGGCCAAACTCCTGAGCTCAGGTGAGCTGCCCACCTCAGCCTCCTAAAGTGCTGGGATTACAGGTGTGAGCCACTGCACCCAGCCTCCATTCCTTTTATGGCTGAGCAATGCTCCATGGAATAGAGAAACCAAATTTTCTTTATTTGTTTATCAGTTGATGAACATTTGGGTTGTTTCCACTTTTTGGCTATCATGAATTTTTTTTTTTTTTTTTTTTTTTTGAGACGGAGTTTCGCTCTTGTTACCCAGGCTGGGGTGCAATGGCGCGATCTTGGCTCACCACAACCTCCGCCTCCTGGATTCAGGCAATTCTCCTGCCTCAGCCTCCTGAGTAGCTGGGATTACAGGCACGCGCCACCATGCCCAGCTAATTTTTTTGTATTTTTAGTAGAGACGGGGTTTCACCATGTTGACCAGGATGGTCTCGATCTGTTGACCTCGTGATCCACCCGCCTCGGCCTCCCAAAGTGCTGGGATTACAGGCTTGAGCCACCGCGCCCGGCCAATTTTTTGTATTTTTAGTAGAGACGGGGTTTCACCATGTTGACCGGGATGGTCTCGATCTCTTGACCTCGTGATCCACCCGCCTCGGCCTCCCAAAGTGCTGGGATTACAGGCTTGAGCCACCGCGCCCAGCCCAGCTATCATGAATATTCTATGAACACAGACACATGATGAATATGCTCTGTGTAGACATATGTTTTCATTTCTCTTGGGTAGACACTTTCAGGAGAGGAATCCCAGGGCATGTGGTTACCGTGTGTTTAGTCGTTTGAGGGGCTGAAGGGGTGCTTTTGGCAATGGCCAGCGCACAACAGAGTCTTTCCTACTTCCCACAAAGGTGCTGTAACGTGCTAAAAGAGTTAGGTTCTGGACCCAGATCACTGGAGACTGATTTTTTCAACAGTGTCACAGGCTGGGTGACTTAGATAACAGAAATCAATTTTTCACAGTTTCAGTGCCATTGGCTTAATTTTTCACACTCACCCAATAACCAAGCAAGTCACTGTGTCTCTTCATGGCTCTGTGACCCCAGTTTATAGTGAGATTATGAGGATTTAAGAGGGGGTGTGGGCTGGGCATGGTAGCTCATGTCTGCAATCCCAGAACATTGGGAGGCCGAGGTAGGCGGATCACGAGGTCAGGAGATCTAGATCATCCTGGCTAACACGGTGAAACCTTGTGTCTACTGAAAATACAAAAAATTAGCCAAGCATGGTGGCACGTGCTTGTAGTCACAGCTACTTCGGGAGACCTAAGCAGAAGAATCGCTTTAACCTGGGAGGTGGAGGTTGCAGTAGCCAAGATCATGCCACTCCAGGCTGGGCAACACAAGACAGTCTAAAAATAAAAAAAAAAAAAAAAGAAAGAAGGAAAAAAAAAAGAAGAGGGGTGTGTGTGTGTTGGAACAGTGCCTGGCCCTGAGTGTTACTGGGATGAAGATTTTATTCTCCTCATGGGACAGTGCAGGGCAGCATGCTGGGATGCAGAGGGGACTCCCCAGGAGAGTGTTTAGTTTATAGGAGAATCCACAGGTATAGGGGCTGAATTATATCTCTTTAAAATTCCTGTGTTGGAGCCTGTGTGGAGTATAATCACATCACTCCAGAAGACCGAGGCAGGTAGATTGCTTGAGGTCAGGATTTTGAGACCAGCCTGGCCAACAGTGAAACCCCATCTCTACTAAAAATACAAAAATTAGCCCGGTGTGGTGATGCATGGCTGTAATCCCAGCTACTCAGGAGGCTGAGCCAGGAGAATTGCTGGAACCCAGGAGGCAGAGATGCAGTGAGCTGAGATCACACCACTGAACTCCAGCCTGAGCAACAGAGCAAGACTCTGTCTCAAAAAATAATAAAATTAAATTCATATGTTAGGTTGTGTGTGGTGGCTCACACCTGTAATCCCAGCATTTTGGGAGGCTGAGGCAGGCAGATCACTTAAGGCCAGGAGTTCAAGACCAGCCTGGCTAACATGGTGAAACCCTGTCTCTACCAAAAACACAAAAATTAGCTGGTGATGGTGGCAGGCGCCTGTAATCCCAGCTACTCAGGAGGCTGAGATGGGAGGATGGCTTGAGCCTGCAGGGTTGAGGCTGCAGTGAACCATGACTGAGCCACTGCACTCCAGCCTGGGAGGCAGAGTAAGACCTTGTCTTAAAAAGAAAAAGAAAAAAAAAAAAGATAGACCATGCACCCTAACCCCTGTGCTCAGAAGATCTAACAGGGACGAGCCAGGCAGGGACATCAGGAGCCCCAGCATATCCTGCCAAGTCCCGCTCTGGGCGTTTCTCCTGGAATCATGATCTCTTCTTGGGCAGAGATGAGCCTGTGACTCACCAAGC